GGTTTTGGTGGATTTTGGGTTGGATTTGGGGGATTTTGGGGCAGTTTTGGTGGATTTTGGGTTGGTTTTGGTGGATTTTGGGTTGGATTTGGTGGATTTTGGGTTGGTTTTGGTGGATTTTGGGGTGGATTTGGGGGATTTTGGGGCAGTTTTGGTGGATTTTGGGGCAGTGCAGATTTTGGGGTGGATTTGGGGGATTTTGGGGCTCACCACGTGCAGGATGGTGGGGTTGCAGCCGATGATGAAGGGAAGGTTCCGGAAGCCCTGGATGCGGTGGGCGATGCGCACGGGCAGCTCCTGCTGCAGGTACCGGGCGCTTTTCTGCCCCAAAAAACGACCATTTTGGGCAAATCCCAAAATTCCTTCACCCCCCTCACAATTTCCCAGGATTTTGGGAAAATCCCCCCTCCCCAGTTCTGTTTTCCCACCCGGATTTTGGGGTTTTTTCCCCCGATTTCTGGAAATTCCCAAACCCCGGAGGTTTCACCCCAAATTTTTACTCCGTTCCCGGCGATTCCAAATTTTTTTTGGGGGGGTCCCTCTCTCAAAATTCCTCCCAAACGGTGAAATTTTGGGGATCTGCACGCTCAGAACCTTCCCAAACCCTCAGGTTTTGGGGAAAAAAACCTCAAATTTTAGGAAAAACACCCAAACTTTGAGGAAAAAACTCGAATTTTGGGAAAAACACCCAAATTTTGGTGAAAACCCCCGAATTCTAGCAAAAAACTCTCAGATTTTGAGGAAAACTCCTCAAATTTTGGATAAAACCCCCAAATTTTGAGGATAAAACCTTTAATTTTGGGGTTAAAATCCTCGAATTTTTGGGAAAAAACACCCAAATTTTTAAGGAAAAAAACCCCAAATTTTGGGGAAATCCTCCCAAATTTTGGGGGAACCCTCCCGGATTTTGGGGAAACCCCCCCCCAAATTTTGGGGCCCCTCACCAGGATGTGGCTGCCGTCCTGCGAGCGCCCCGAGTACAGCATGGTGGTGGGGGTCAGGCGCACCGAGGGCTGCGTTTTGGGGGGAAAAAAGGAGATTTTGGGATCTTCTGGGATTGGGGGGAAAGCATCCTCGAATTGCCCTGGAAATCCCGCCCAGAACGGCCCCAAAATCCCCCCAAACGGCCCCAAAATTCACCCAAAACCCCCCCAAAATTCACCCAAAACCCCCCCAAAATTCACCCAAAACCCCCCCAAAATTCACCCAAAACCCCCCCAAAATCAGCCCCAAAACCCCCCCAAAATCAGCCCTAAAAATCCCCCCAAAATGGCCCCAAAATCCCCCCAAACGGCCCCAAAATCAGCCCCAAAACCCCCCCAAAATCAGCCCTAAAAATCCCCCCAAAATGCCCCCAAAATCCCCCCAAACGGCCCCAAAATCAGCCCCAAAACCCCCCCAAAATCAGCCCTAAAAATCCCCCCAAAACGGCCCCAAAATCCCCTTAAAGTGACCCAAAATCCTGGGGAATTTGGGGAGGGGTCTCACCCTCTCTATGGCTGCCTCAACTGCCCCAAATCCCCCCAAAAATCCCCCCAAAAAAGTCCCCCAGAAATGTCTCCCAAACCCCACAAATCCACCCAGAGTGACCCAAACCCCCGGGATTTTGGGGAGGGGTCTGTCCCCGATTTGAGGAGGGGTCTCACCCTCTCTGCAGCCACATCAACGCCCCCAAATCCCCCCAAAATCCCCCAGAAATGTCTCCCAAACCCCACAAATCCACCCGAAATAACCCACACCCCCCGGGATTTTGGGGAGGGGTCTCCCCGGGAATTCGGGATTTTGGGGAGGGGTCTCCCCGGGAATTCGGGATTTTGGGGAGGGGTCTCCCCGGGAATTCGGGATTTTGGGGAGGGGTCTCCCCGGGAATTCGGGATTTTGGGGAGGGGTCTCCCCGGGAATTCGGGATTTTGGGGAGGGGTCTCCCCGGGAATTCGGGATTTTGGGGAGGGGTCTCCCCGGGAATTCGGGATTTTGGGGAGGGGTCTCCCCGGGAATTCGGGATTTTGGGGAGGGGTCTCCCCGGGAATTCGGGATTTTGGGGAGGGGTCTCCCCGGGAATTCGGGATTTTGGGGAGGGGTCTCCCCGGGAATTCGGGATTTTGGGGAGGGGTCTCCCCGGGAATTCGGGATTTTGGGGAGGGGTCTCCCCGGGAATTCGGGATTTTGGGGAGGGGTCTCCCCCCGGGATTTTGGGGATTTGGGGAGGGGTCTCACCCTCTCTATGGCTGCCTCAACTGCCCCAAATCCCCCCAAAAATCCCCCCAAAAATGTCCCCCAGAAATGTCTCCCAAACCCCACAAATCCCCCCGAAATAACCCAAACCCCCCGGGATTTTGGGGAGGGGTCTCCCCGGGAATTCGGGATTTTGGGGAGGGGTCTCCCCCTGGGATTTTGGGGATTTGGGGAGGGGTCTCACCCTCTCTGCAGCCACATCAACGCCCCCAAATCCCCCCAAAATCCCCCAGAAATGTCTCCCAAACCCCACAAATCCACCCGAAATAACCCAACCCCCCCGGGATTTTGGGGAGGGGTCTCCCCGGGAATTCGGGATTTTGGGGAGGGGTCTCCCCC